CTCAAGAGCAGAGGCAGCAGTGTTAGTGAAGGGAATGGGGCAGGATTGGGTCTTCCCCTTCCCAGCATAGGCCAAAGGTTTCAGCAGCTGTAGGGGAAGAGCAGCTGGAAAAACTGACAGCCTCCTTGGTGATGGGCAGACATTTCTGTGGATGTGGGACACGTGCCTGAGCAGCCATCTTGAACACAGGCCACACTGCACATCCTGGAGTCCTGTCACCATCCTCTACCCTGCCTGCAGATATTAACTAGTAAATAGCATAAATTCAAATTAAGTTCTAAGTTTAGGTTAATATGCACTTCAAAACTCTCCTGGATGCAATAGCTAGGTGCGTATCTTTGTGTGTGACCACAGAGTGTGGCAGAAGTTCAGTTCAGTCCAGTTCAGTTCAGAGGGGGTGGAAAAAAAAATGGCTAAGGTATGAAGAGAAGAACAGCAGAGGAGGGCTCTGTTCTTGTGCTGTTTGTTTTACTTCATTTTCCTAAATATTCTGGAGTATGTTGCAAAAAACTTTTAGCCATCTGTCTAACGGATATTAGTGAAATGGGGACTGTGTTAAAAATAAAGTGCCAGGTTGTCCTCTGCAGAAAGTTAATAAAAAAAAGGAAGTGAAAGACTGCTCATTATTTTTAATGACTCTGCTTTCCAGCAGAGCGCCTGTATCTCCCTGCCTTTACATTCTGCCTTATTTCAGTTCATTACAGCACATTAAACTGTTCAAGAGAATGACGGCTTTGTTCTGAAGCACGGAGTTTATCAGGAGGCCCCCAGCCCAGCCTGGCCAGGCTGTTAATCACGGCCCCCATGTCAGGAGGAGGATGCTGAGAAGAGCCCCACAGCCTGTCTGCCTCACAGCGAGCTCAGCCTGGCTACCTGTGCACTGCTGCTGCTCAACACCATGCACATCTCATCATCAGTGTCGATTAAGCAGTGCGTGATGACTGCCTGAACATTTTCTGAATGCATATGTCCATATTTGTCTCTCTTATGGCTCCATTTGACACAAAGCTCTCATATCCTGTCAGCTGATATTTGCTTTATTAACTTTAAAATATAGGATATGTTTGGCAGTCCAGAAGATGAAGATACATGAGTGTTCAGTTCAGACCACAGCACCATGCAGGGCACCCGGGGCATTCAGCTGCATCTGCAGGCTCCTTGCAGGGAGCAGACAGCAGGTAGGAAAGCTAAAAGCAAAAGCTGCTTTTCCAGATTTGAGAAACGCTAGCTTTTCTCAATTGCCTTGCTTGCAAAAAATACATGCTGTGATTCTTTTAATCTGAAACTTTTCAGCTATGCTCTCTGCATAAATTGAGCTCTACGTAACAACGGCGAGGTCTTTGCAACACCACATTTAGAGTGGTTTGTACAGAAACATAAGGTATGCGTTTTCTAGGGCACAGAGGAATCGCTTAGAAGGGGTCCATAATCAGGCCCCAGCTCACTGCAAATTTGTTTGACAGCAGATGGAGTTGTCATGCTTTGCTTTGTCTTCATGCTTACTGGTGGTTGTGGCCCTGGTACAATCAGGCACAGCCAGACTTGCATCCTGCATCTTATATATAATGCAAACCTAACAGTCCTGTATGCAATGGAGGAGCATCTGTGTTGTTTGGGGTTGTAGCAGGGAATGTGGGCAGGCCTTGCCTAGCTGTGGTGAGCTGGAGCAACTCCCTGCTCTTCCTGTATGCTTCCTGTGGCTGATGCTCCCAGTTCTCAGCGGCTTCTCCTGGGGGCACATTTGTTCGTGGCAGTTCATAATGCCAGAGGCCTTCCAGCGCAAGTGGTTCTCCATTGGGAAAATGGCTTTCAAGAGCAGCCTGGTCACGGAGATCAAGTTGGATGGGATGGTAAGGAGACAGTGTCAATCCTTTAAATTTTAAGCATGGCAAGCTGGCTGATATTTTTAATTTGCTTACCTTTTAACACAAGAGTGATTTATACTCACAAGCCACATTTTTTTTTCTGCCTGTCTTAACCCACAAAATGAAAACCGTGACCAGAAGTGTATTCCCCTTGTCTAAACACTGGCATACTGGTGTTTAGAAGAAAGGGCTCCACCATGACTCTTCCCAACTGCCTGCAGAGTGAAAGGAGTGCTTTGGCCAGGAGGAAAAATTAGCTCATGCCTGTGTGAAAACACTGCATGGAGTGAGGCAGAGCCTTTTTTATGGGGGAGAGGAGAAGACAGATGAGGGGCTGTTTGTTTTCCAGCTCTATCAGACAGTAAACTTGGCAGTACCCCTACAAGGCACTACAAAGCACCCTTCTGGCTTAGTCAGTAAGTTAACAAGAGAAACATTTGATAGATGCCTACTGGCAAGCTAATTAGAAGAGAAGTGATTTGCTGGATTGCAGGAAAAACAAAAGGAGAGGAAAATGTTCAGGCAGATCATTTAAGGTCCTCATCCTGGGAGAGAGGGAGTAACTGGTTTCATTTCCCAGAGGCTAATCCTGCTCTAATTGACTTATTATTAGACTCCAAAGGAAAACAGTCCATGTGGCCATGACAACATGCCCAGGGAATGTGTGACTGGCTGCTTGGGGGAAGACACATGGGGAGACAATAGGTTGCTGTGTATGAAGTGGCACAGAATCACATTTGTCACATGCAGATCTAGGCGGCACACTAGCTCTAACTGGGCACACTGGTTAATGTTACATTGTGGAAGCGGAGTATTATGGACAACCGCATGATTCATTTTGACTCAGTGGTTTTAAACACATTGGTCTTCCATGAGAAAAAGCACAACCTCTTCCTAAACACAGACCAGACAACCACGGATCACATTACGAGAGCAGACAACATGGTAGGCTGTAAGTTACTTGTGAAACACAAAACACAGATTTATGTATTTACAAACCAAACTCAAGATACAAATATACTGGTATTGCTAGAGGCAGTCCTATAGACATGGTACTACAGAGCTTCAAGAAGACGCTTCAAACTACTGGACGTCTGGGAGCTGAGCAAAGACTTAAGAGATTTGCATTTTTCAAAGTGAGAAAATCTCCTATGCTTTCCATTAACACTTTGAATATTATTTTGAGTCCCTAGTTTGCATAATTCAAATGCATAGCTATAAAATACGGAGCTCAAATTTGGGCTAATTTGCACTGTGGAAACCATTCTAGTTTTGATCATTTTGTTTGACATGGACTTTTTGGTATTAGAAATGCACAGAAGACATACCATTAGAAAAACAAGAACTATTACAACATGCCTAAAGGATACAATTCATTACCCAGATAAACTTTCAAATAAGCAGACATCAGTGTGCTGAATTGCAATAAAATGCCGGTGGAATTATGTATTTCTTCCATAACATGTTAGATGATCTCATCTCACGTGTATTATTATTGGGAATACCAAATTTCTCCAAGGAAGTGCAGAAGACACAGTAATGTTCAGGTATGGTTAGATAATGTAAGTATATTTTAAATTAAAGAAATCAAGCAAAGATAAAAATTCAGCAAAAAATACAACTATGTAGAAAAATTCCTTCTACCTCTCAGTTTAAATTTAATCTAAAATGTATTTCTCTTCCTGAAATCAGTGGAAATGCTTTTTCTTCAAAAATACTTGAAAGGAATAAGCAAATTTTGTAAAAAAAAAAAAAAAAAAGACTGTGAGAGTCTCATCAAATAATTAATTACAAGCTGTATCTTGGCAAGAAAGGTGTAAAACTTTGGTACCATCTGTTGAACCAGGTTTTCTGAGATTTGGGCCAGGCTTTTTAGGTATGCTCTTTATTTCATTGTTTCCAAGGGGAAACTGGTGAAAAAGAACAGCCTAAAATTAGGAGACCAGAAATATTTGAACACTGCTGGAGTACATATATGTGTACGCAGTGGGCATTGCTTGTAAAGCAAAAGCTTGCTATAAAGGAAAGAGCCGAGGCACATGACTCATTGTCTGCCACAGATGTCTGCAGCTTCTCCTGGGTTACAGCTACGGGGAGGCAAAAAGTTAGAAATTCCTGAATTCTGTTGCAGACAGTAAAAGAGACACGCCACCCAGATGAGTGCAGAGGCTCCTTTTTCTCCACTGCTTCAATGTGGGAGCCTTTTGGAAACACCTGGGGTTGTGCTTGGTGACTGCTGGGTCAAATGCTCAGCCTGTAGTTTGTCAGAAAGGGGGGGTGGGGGGTTCTAACAGCTTTTCCAGAAGCATGTTTTTTTCTGTCCTACTGATAAAGACATACACCTCTACATTTTGCTGAAGTATTCTGAAGTTAGAAAATGTAAGAAATTCCAAAAACCCTTTAAAACTTTGGTCTTACTACAGACTTTTTCATTGGAAGAACCAAATGCTGTACCACACCATAAAATAAAAAAATAAAAAGTAAACACAGGTGGTAACAGCAAGGAAAAAAGCTCAAGGAGAAATTGGTGCATTTCTCACTTATTAGGACATTTCCTTGATTTTAAGCATAATTTATTCTGTTTCAACTGCACGGTTTCTGCACACTTCCTTTGAAAAATCTTTCTGCGTAGATCTGAGGCAATACAGTGCAGCCTCATCTGGGAAGAATATCATAGGAGAATGAAAATACCAAAGCTGTAAAGAAAATAAAAATAATAAGCTAGCATTTGAGGGCTTGAGTGAAAAAATAGATTTGATCAGAGGCAGGTGAATCTCGTCTCCCAGAGACTCAGGTAACATCAGTGAGGACAATGATCCCAGCCTTCTGCATGCACAAGCAGTTCTGGGAGACTCATCCTCACTCCAGTCTGAGACTCAGCAAACCTGGGTGCTGGTGGACTTGCTGTTTGTGGATGATTGACATTTTAACTCAGTTATACCTTTGAGTTATGAAGCTTCTGCAGTGAAATCCACCTCAGAAAAAGAAAATGTGACTGAGGAGTCAATTATTCGGAGACTAATAAGGCAAAGTCCTGAAACATGCTTTCTGCAGAGCTCTCTATGGGCTCTCTCGTGCCATGAGGCATCACAAGTACCCTTTCTCACAAACCTTGTAAGAACCAAGTAGCTTTATAAATTTCATTTCATGTGAAATGCAGGCAGCAGGTGCAAGGACATCCTCCTGGGCAGATGCACAGAGAGCATGATCTCTCAAACTTCGATTGTTTATGACATTTTAAGTTGAAAATTGAATGGAACAATCTACAGTTTTAGCCAAAAATGGATGTATTTCCCTTTTTCAGTTTAGTAGCTATGGGTTTCTGCAGAGTGAATTGAAGTGTTATATAGATCTCTTGTTCAACATGCCACCAGATGGAAGGTCCACTGCTTTAGGACAAGTGACTTGACTCACCTTATTCATAGCTTCCCCTCTGTGAGTCAAGGGCTAGGTATGAACTTGCTGCTACTGGAAAGAGCAGCATATATGAATACTTTTTAATGAAGTAAATATAGGCACCACGGTTGCCATGTGAGGCCCACAGAGAGCTATAGGATTCTTCCTTAGTAGAGTACTTACTTCAGTACAAACACACAGTCATTCTTCTATCATTTCACTCACTCTTGGAGTTCAGCAAAGGATTAACACTGAACAAAGACTACAGATAGATCTACTACGTCCTGTGGGATCCCACATGCCAACAAGCTCATGGGTCTATGTGGTACAATGCTACACCCTGCTGAGATACTCACTAAGGTCTCAGAGTGGCATGGCCACATCAGCATTGCATCCTGCCTGGCCTAATTAAAGAAACTGAACTCATTAGGCCAGGCAAAGTGCCATATTAATTAGATGGTATAGACACAGTCCTAGTATCTAGACTTGTTAGCAGTGTAGCATAGCCCTTGTATTACATGTTACCTAGCTAAATCACAGCCTTTCTTCTCTGTAATCATCACTTTGGCACTGCTCACAAGCACTGGCTTCACATGGGCTTTAATGCCATACTGTGTTTTATTTTTCTTTAATACTAACCAGAACTTAACATTCATCTCCTTGTTTTGTGGGCACAGTTCCTGAAATAAGATTAATTTTGTCTCAAGGTGTCACTTTCCAGTAGCAAACCAAAAGCTGTGCGAGAGAATGGAGATGAGGCAAGGAGAAAGAAAATCAGGCTGTGTTGCAGAACTTCAAGATGAAATTTGCAGCAATCTTTATGAGGAAATGCCCAAACCTACAGCTTAGAAATTTCATGTTTGAAGAGATCTCCACATTCATCTGACTACAAGAAGCTGGAGGTTTCCCTGCATGTTTGGCCAGGGGCTGCCTGTTCACACGGATGACAGTCACACAGGGCTCAGATAAAGGGCTTTGCTGAGCTTTGGGATGGCTGTTCTTTCTAATTTCATAAAGGTCTTGCTAAAATGAATGAAGAGATGAATAAGCAAAATAAAGTCTCCCACTAACACACAACAAAATGTGGACATACAGATCATTACATGGACCCACTTCCCAACTAATCCTATCTGACAGTCTTTTCTGTGAGCTCATTCACTCCATCCTGCAGCCCCCTGACAGCAGCTGGTTTTGCTGACCCAAGATGACAGTACAGGTACAGTAACCACAGGTGAACTCAACCTTCTAAAGTTAATTCTTTTTGTAGTCTCCATTTACCACTTCCATTCTCATCACCTAGAATATTCCAAAAGGATAGACATAATTATTTTCCTAAATTATTCTAGAGGGACTCTGAGAATGTTAATATTTATGAGTTAATATCTGGGAAATCAGACTTCTTCATATCACAGTGTAGTCGTTTTGAAGATCCTGATTCAAGGAAAAGGGAATCCCAAGGTTCAAGCGTCTGAGAAAAAAAAAGAGAATATTTTATTAGCTATGATCTTTTTGATCAAAGCAATACCAAAAGCATCTCTGTCTGCAGATAAAACAATGAATAGTGTGGAGTGGGCAGAAACTTAACACTCATTCTATGCTACATATGCCTGTACTTCTGAATTCCCTCCCCACAAAAAAAGAGCATCAGAGGGTTTCAATCTGCAAACACGTGCACACATCTCCATTTATCAGGCTGTGAACATCTTTATTTTATTCCATTTCAATTTGTAAATAAATGCAAATTAACAGATAAAGCAGAATTCATGGAAAAGTGTTTTACTCGAGAGCAGACAAGAGGGGGCACTCCTGCATTTCCTACATTGCAATTTTTGATATGCAATAGTTGGTTGGTAGGAAATTTATCCTAGATGGTTCTTGCTGCAAAAGGTTGCAGAAAAAAAAATAATATAGCAGAAAAAATGTCAAATGGAGAAAAACAAATATGAGGGTGTGTGGGTGATGCTAGATGTCCTTGTGCATCAGGCTGAGATGTTTGACTGCAAATTTGCTTAGGAGGGAGGAAAAGGTATTGCAGCAGCAGAGGTGGAAGTAAACTCTCCTTAGGGTGAAAGAAAGGCTGAATCATAAGTATAGTCCACAGCAGTGAGCTGAATTTGGCCTCAGGCCTCTTGCAAGATTTTTAATTCTCAGAGTAATGAAAAAGAGCTGGATAGGGGCTGAGAACAGCTGAAAGAGATACAGCCTGAAGGGTAGTCCTCATTTTACTAATGAAACAGTTTGGGCTGCCTACACAGGGTCACTCAGGAAAGCTAAATAAATCAATCAACTGAAGGTGTGAAGTCAATTTATATAAGTTACAGCATATTAAAACTCTGTGTGAATAGTTTCATTCAGGGTAAATAGCTTTAGATTATTGCAGCTTAAATTTCTAGATTAACAGAAACAAAATATGTTTTGATAGCAAAGTAAAACAAGATGGAGAGAGAATAAACATCCAGTTAGTAAATTAGTCCTACAATCATGGCCTTTGTTTTTAGTAGCAGAAAATCCAAAGCTACTCAGATAGAAAAATAAAGTTTATCGTGCATTATACATATCATGCAGCAACCTTAGATGCAAAAGCCTTTAAGAAGCAGAAAGCGATAGGGCACTGAAGTACAAAACTCACAGTGTTGGCTGTACCATTCCGAGACCCTACACTGCCCAGCTTTCTTTGGGAGCATCCCAAATGGATCTGAACCATATTCCTAGTGCATACTGCAGAGTTAATTAGCTCTCATGTAACTTGTAACTAACACAATTTAACTGAATTACTGGAGACTGGTGGTACCAGGAACACAGTTCTTTTATTAAACACTGCATTTACCTGCTCAGTTAAGTAAAACATCTGTCAGTCAAGAGCTCTGTGTCCATTCTCTCTCCTTAGCATTTCATCAGGCTCTGCTCAAATTTTTTTTTTGCACCAGTAAAGTAAGTCATGCTTGTGGCTTTTCTGTTGTTTGTAGGCTTTCCTCACTGCAGTCATCATCACCCCAGGCTCTTCAAGAGATTTGCTCTGCTATACAATTGAAGAACTTTCCATCCTAAAACTGAATTAAGCAAAAAATAAGGTAACTGGCTGTAGTCAGCATGTGTTTGTGGACAAGGAGCACACATTCTTCACTGGAAAAGCTGTACAGCAGAACCTCCAGATGCATGGTCCTAGTTAAAGGCAATGCAAATTCATTATGTAAAACATTATCTATGTATGGCTGATTAGATACCCTGCATAAAACTAAGATATTACTAAGATCACTTTTTAAAAGTGCAATCAGTAGATAAAACACACCATCTTATGAAGATTTTACATTGTCTTTTGAACAACCTGATAAGAAATGTATTGGTTTTCCTTATTTCAACCTTTCTGATAAACTGGCAGGAAGAAACAGCATTTGAAATTTATTGGTGAACATAAAGTTTTTAAAAATATGTGGATGTTGTAGCAGTGCATTTGCTCACAGATTCTGAAAAAATTCACCCAATTCAAGAGTCAACTGTCTGGAAAAATGAAGGCTGCAACATACTAAGCAATCAGGAGAAAAGAAATAGCTTTAACTGAAACATACCTATGGCCTTAGAAATGCTTGAAGCCTACAGGAAGGACACGTGTGGGATTTGTGTTCCAGGCAATAAGTTCTCTAAGGTCCTCTCTCCAACAACAGCAGTGTTTGTCTTTTCTCATCCCCAAAGCACCCTTTCCTTCAGCAGCCCTTTTGGTCTTCAAGGCACTATTCTCTTCTCTTCTAACCCTCTAACACCTAAGCTGTATTGTCACTAGCAGAAGACCTTTTTTTGGTCTATGGGGTTTGCCCATAGTCTTTTGGTATATGCTTGAAAAGCCATCAGAAGCACTGATGCAGCTCGGTGTTCGCTAGTTGCCAAAAACAGCTTCCCTTGTGAGCTGAAAAAGGAGACACTCCTTTTGTGTAAAATTTGTATACTAAATCTCTGAGAACACATACACACAACCACTGGGGGAAAGAACTACAGTGACCCAACCTTACAGTTCTGTGAGTGACCTGTTTTCAGGCAGAGCTTAGCATCATTCAACTCCTCCTAGTATCAGACAATACAAGAGTCTCCTTAAAGCTTGAATGAACCCTCCCCCCTCCACTTTTATATAACCCTACAAATTAGGATAGTAAAAAAATTAAAAGATGGGTAGAGGGAAATAGTCTAACTCTTGAGAATAAGACAAATACCTTGAACTAATGCATACATTTGCTCATAAACAACATTATTAATACTACACACAATGTTTTAAAAGCTATTAGAAACAGCAAACTGAGAAGGGTGAGAGCAAGATGTTCTATCTCCTTAAGCAGCAGCTGAAACAGGCTCTAAATTAATCAGGAGTCTTAGAAACTCTAATAAGAAGGGGCTGATGAGAAACAGCTGCACCCAATCCCTATAAAAACCTTCAAAAAGAAGGGAATTAAGTGATAATGTCAGTGGAAGGGAATATCATCACAGGATGGTCTCCTGCTGCTACAAAATGCTCATGCAAAACCAAGTACTTTTCCAATGGGAAATAATTATGATGGGTCTCAGTTCTGTTTTCAGTTCTTGGACTTGATTTCAACCCTCCTGTATGGTGATGCAGTAGCCATTTAGGAAAACTAAATTTTAGCATGCTTTTGTGTCAAATAATCTAGTTCTAATGTTTATTCAAAGTGGTATTCAAAACATCTACTCTGCTCCTACCATAGGCAGTTGTGTGAGAAGTATGCATAACTGAAGTGGCTTTGTAAAGAAGGGGAATACGAGGGAAAAAATAAAATACGTGCACACCATTAACTGTTAAGGGCCCTTGGTACCACGGAGTCAGTAAAGTGAATATTCAGTTTAGTACTTCTGAAATTGAGTGTCTGTGGCAGGGATGTGAGGTATAAGTCAACGCTTCACAGAAAAATGGTTCTGATTGCTTGTACATGGGGACTAGTGAAATAGCAGTAAAGGATACTAACAGGTTTTAGTATTAATCTGATAAAAATAAATTTCTTTTGTTGTATTTAATAGCTCAATAAAATGATGTACAAAACTCATAATTTGTGGAAGAAAGGGAAAAATGACTTTTTGCATGATCATCTCAAATGTATGCTTTATTTTTTGACAGAAAAGCAGTCCATCTGCCAGTGGCTACCCTTGCTCCATGTATTGGCACTTCCAAGCATTCTCTAACAAGGCTGTACATGAAGCCTGCAGCACCAGCACTCATGGTTCCTGATCTCTACAGGTTTACAAGCAGCTTTTTCCGCAGAACTTCGAAGGATTTGGGCAATGCTGACAGTCCGTCACTATGAAATCTCTTTTGTTGAAGGGACAGTTGCAAAGCTGATTACAGATTTAAGCACTTGGATACTGAGGTGTGCACTGTGCTTTCAAAATGGATTTTGGTGACTTAATGAAAATGTTTGCAGAGTGAATTTTCAACTTATTTTTTTCCCCAGAACAAATGCTTTGTTTTTGTCCTCTGCAACTTCCATGTTTTTAGGATTGTCTTAATGCTTGCAGCTGCAGTGGAGACTAAATGAATGAAGATTTCAGGGCTCCCTGTGGAAACACTGTATTACCTTATTGCTGCTGCTACTCCTCTAACCCAATTCCCCGCAATAGGAAATGACTGCTCAGAAGGTATGATGTATGAACTGTAACGCAGTCATCCAACATTCCTATAGAAAGCTTAGATTATTCTCTCTGAGCTAACTGTAAGATAAAGGTTGATCTCACATTCATTTATCCACGCAGCAAATTCAGGACTGAGCAGTAAGATTTTGGGTTCTAAATGCGTGAAGAGAAAAGGGAAAATAGGAGCATTGCAGAGGGGCCACCAGGCAGGTTCTCACCCTTGGGAGGAGGTATTTCAATAGCCTCTGCACTCAGACTCAGCTCCCTGTGCTTCCTGGTTTGTGCAATCCCTGAGTCTGTCATTTCCCAGCATAGCTGAAAGTCAGTTCCTGAAAAAACATTGGATAATGCAAATGTATTTAGTAATGATGAGCCATTCTGAATTCTCTAGGAGTCATAAACATGTTTGTTTTATCAAGATAGGGTAGGGTTTGTAGTGCAATAGAATGATGAAAACAGCCTGGATTAACAACTCTTCTCATCTCCTGCTCTGACAGCCCCTTTCTCAAAGCACCAATATTACCCACTTACAAAATGGATTTATGCCAACGTTTAAAGCACTTCTTTTTCTTTCAGCACACCAGATGGTACTAAAAATTCAAAATATTTCCTACAACAGCTGTATCTTTGACAACAAAATTAATATAAGCAGAAATACCATTGCTGTGTGTAGGCTGTAATGGCCAGATTATTCAGTTTTAAGTCTAACGTAGAAAAGCATTCTATAGTTAAAAAAATAGATCTGATAAACTAATATTGCATCGATCATGTGACTCTGTCTGGGTTTTCAAAACCAGATGCAAAATTTAGTGCCTTTATAATGTAACAGCTGGTCTGATAAGAATGCAAAATACACCTTTCCCTAGAGCTATAATAAATGTGTTAACACTTTCTTACAACCAGCCCTTTCCTACAACTCATCATTTTCTTGCCCCAAGCTCTGTCTTTATGTATTTGATGACATAAATCTTCTAAGCAGGTTTTGACCAGAAGCTAACTTCCCTTACTCTGATATCTGGACAACAATATGTGTTTTTTCCTTGGTGTTTAAAGTGGGAAAGGCGGGGGGAATGTTTTCAATTAAGGCAAAAGAAACAAAAAAAATGCAAATGACGTGCTTGCTATTTCCATCTCTTTAACATGAATGTGTACAGTAGGGTTTTTTAATGATCTATTGTTAGATCATTAGCTAGATCATTAGATATAAGGCAAGAAGCTCTAAAAGTTTTAGTATTTTTAAGAGCTTTGGCATGGCATGAGCAATGAGCCAAAAGGACAGCAAGCATGAAAACAAAGCTCAAGCCAAGTAATTTGCCCTTTGAAAGGGTGCAATCTTCAAGCAACGTAATGAACATGATTTTGTTATCTCTATGTTTTTCTACGTATATATGAACTTTCTTGATTCAAGCATGTGAATATCTGCAAAAAAAATCAGTTATGTAACAGTGATGTGAAGAAATAAATGACCATCAGCTTTATCTGGAGCGAGGCTGGGCAATCTAGTGGCTACTGGCACTGGACTCCATGTAAGATGTGGCAACTTCATGTCCCTTGTGTCACACAGTTCTGAGACATCTCAGCACAGATCTTTACATCTGCAAGTCTTCTAAGGGACGTGGGGGATCTATCACGGAAATGGATGCAAAAAGCCCAGCACCTCAGCTCTGGATGCCCATTTCCTGCCCATGGCAGGTGAACATCACCTTCTCCACATCTGTTTGTTTGGCTCTCTCCTGCCAAGCACAGACCCCTGCTTTCCCACTGGTTCCTGCCCTGCACGAATCACTCCTCTCATTTTCCAGCAATGCAATTCTCACCTTCATTTGTGGGATTCCTTTTTCTCCTGTACTCTGTTCCTCATTGTCCACTTGCACAAGGCATCTGGCATCAAAATGATGCTGCTGGCCTGGCACTGTCATGTTTGGACACGATGAGTGAGGTATTATTAATTGTGGATATAGCACTACAGCTATTTTTAATCATCTTCCTTTTGCACAGCTGCAATGCTGTCATATTAGTTCAGCATACTTGAAAATTAACATTCATGAAGCAAAGAATGAAGGGTTATGATTTTAAATACTCTTGAGAGTTCGTTAATATTTTTAAAAGTGAGACATTATTTTGGAATGTGCCTTCTTTAGAAATTTGCATTCCCTGCACTCCACCGCATTAGAGATACAAGGTGAGAGGGAAGGATCATAAATCAGATGGAGGTGGAGGAAAAGGACAGCTCAGATCACTCAGGGCTCCCTGCATGTTCCTCCTCAGGCCCATATACTGCCCTGTGACCTTGCAAGAACAAGACCACGGTGGGAAGCTGGGCAATAGTCATGCTCCATGTCTTACAAAGACATTTCATTAAAATAATGTGAAGATAGGACTGATGATAGCTATTTTTTGCTAAAGATGAGTGCTCCCATTGAAATTTTTTTGTTATTTTTGCCCTTCAAAAAATATACCAACAAAACTAAGGTTCAGAGAAGCATCAGGAAAACGTATGCGACATTAGCAAACATGAACAGATTTTTTTTTTACTGAACTTCAGGCTCTAAATACCACAAGGATGATGATTTTGCCTCTTCTCAAGTACAGTGTGTCCCCACAGCTGCATGCCTGATGTCAGGATGCACTGGTGAACACCTAAGCAGGGTCATAAGTGGAACAGGTGCCTCTGATTTACACTGAAGTCTGAACTGACCCTGGAGGTTTACAGTCATCCTTGTTTTCCTTCCCCTGTGGTGCCATGCAGACAACTAAGGGCCAATCCACTCTGAGAACCCCTTTTAACGCTAGTGAAGTAATTTTAAAGCTATATTTAGAAAAAAAAAATCTCTAAAGAACCTATTGCATTGTGAAACCAGAGAATCTCCCTTGATTTTTGAGGGGAGAAAATGAACAGTCTCTAAGCTCTGCAAACTTAGGCAGGGTTTTCTGAGCGCTGATGGCTTGTTTTGCATTTGACAGGATTTACCTTATAGTTGTCTATTTCCATTTGCAAGAGCCCATCTTTCTCTCACCCAAATCCCTGTTGGTGACACAAGTCCACAGTTCACTGGAAGCTAAAGGGAGGGTTACAGTTGGCTTTAACTGTTGGTTGAAGCCAAGCTTAGCTACTGATTTGGAGTCAAATGAACTGTTAAACCTCCAAACCCTGAGGCTGCTGCTTTCTGCTGTTGTGCCTGCTGAGCAGAGCATCAGCAGAGGGCCAGCCTGTGTTAAAACTTCAGCAGATAATAGTTAACAGGAAAAATTACCTCCGGAACAATTTTCAGATGTATCCATCTCATTCCAGTGCAAAGCCACAGAGGTTAAAATGGAAACTACCAGTGTTTTAACTAATCAATTTGGTTTTGCACGAGAATGAAGGATAGCTGAGAGCAGGTTGAGAGAAGCACTGAGAAGTTATTGTTGGCCATCTTTTTTGTTAAGACTTCATTCCTACCTGCATTCTCACTTTAACAAAAACACAGTGAATTGGGTGATACATTGGACAAAGACTTTGGACATAGGCCTGGGCCAGAGAAAGTGTTTGATGACATTCATGTAAACCAAATTCTTCATTAAAACTACTTCCTCCTTCAACACTGCCTCTGCTAGCTGAAGTAGGAACACTGTGCAATTGAGTGATTCCTAGAAGACCATCTGCGGTTTCCAAGTCTGTCCCTGTAAGTCTCTTTCTCAGCTGCGGC